CTCTGTCTCCGCCTCTGCTGTCTGAGACGTTTTAATTTTGCTGGAGACCAGAAAATGATTTTAGTGAAAGTTCCAGTTTCATATCAATATCTGATACTTTGAGTCCAAAATGTTCCTAATAATCATTACTTACTGTCAACACATTGAATCAGGAGATTCTCTATGATCCATGCAGCAGAAAATGGATCCCAACATCTTCTAGTTACTGGAGAAATTTCACTGCTTCATCATGAAAAATGGACCCAAACACTCTGGTTCTGGTTCTGTCCACCATGATCCATATCATCACTATAGTAGATCAGACTGATGGACTGAGAGTTTATCAGTCTGTCTCATCTCAATGTGTGCAGACATATTAATGAGGATCATCTGCAGATCCTGGGTCACCTGGACCCGGTTCTGACCCAGTCCAGACGGTTCAGACCGGAAGGAGCAGCAGGACCGGTTCTGCTGCTGCTCTGCAGGACGACCAGAACAACGTGAAGCTTTTAGCTGCAGCAGGTTGACGACTGTCCACTTTCTACTTTGTTAAAGCATCAAATCCAGCAGATGAACGGAGACAGAACTGGAGCATCATGTGTTTGTTCTGCTCCCAGTTTCCTCTGTGGCAGCATTTAATAACCTGCTGCTGGGAAACATGTTTCTATACAATATATTACTATTATTCATGATGATGCAGCAGATATTGGCTCAACAAACCCAGAGATGCCAGAGGTCCACAGCAGCTGGACTTCCTGTTCTGCTCACTTCATTTATAACTCACTTCCTGCTTGGTCTAAACCAGTGCTTCTCAAATAGTGGGGCGGGCCCCTTTGGGGGCGCGTGTGATCCTGGGGAACCGGCTTTTTTTTGGCCGTACTAGTATAAAGTGTAATTGCGCACAGTAGGCGGCAGTGGCGCTCTCATTGTTACTTCTGTCACGTTTGCGACAGTGCAACATTTTATGACTTACAAGACAACAGGTTTGCCTTGGTTAGCAGTGTTAAGTCAACAAAAAGCTCCGACTGCGTTCTGTCTATGGCCTCCGTTATTCAACAACCCCCAACATGAAAAAGTTTTTCACAGGGATGAAAAGAAAAGCGGAGAGAGACAAAGATAATGAGACAACAGAAAGTCAACCGAAAGCTAAGAAGAGGAAATACGACGAAGCGTATTTAGCGCTTGGCTTCACTGTGACTACAGTTGGAGAAGAGGAAAGACCGGTGTGTTGCTGTGTCTAAAAATGCTCGCAGCGGACAGCATGAAGCCAAATAAATTAGCGCGTCACTTAAATACGTTACATCCCAATCACGCCGATAAGCCGCTAGAGTTTTTCAGCGAAAAAATGTTAATAAGGAAAAATGTTATGCAGAGATGGATAGTCACGGTGGGGAGTGGAGGGCGCGAATAGTTTTCTTCTTGCTAGGGGGCGTAACGGAAAATAATTGAGAAGCACTGGTCTAAACGGTCTAGTCCAAGTCAGAGCTGTGAGCAGTTCCTCCTCCTCTCCATCATCTCCAGTCGTTTCCTTCATTCAGCTCAGTCAGCCTCTTCATCAGCTGCTGCAGAGAAACTGAACTTTCCTTCACTGATGATAGAAGATCTTCAACATCTGACTGCAGCTGAAGGTCTGAGGACATGAAGCCTGGACCAGAACCAGAACCAGAACCTGGACCAGAACCAGAACCAGAACCTGGACCAGAACCAGAACCTGGACCAGAACCAGAACCAGAACCTGGACCAGAACCAGAACCTGGACCAGAACCAGAACCAGAACCTGGACCAGAACCAGAACCTGGACCAGAACCAGAACCAGAACCTGGACCAGAACCAGAACCAGAACCTGGACCAGAACCAGAACCTGGACCAGAACCAGAACCTGGACCAGAACCAGAACCAGAACCAGAACCTGGACCTGGACCAGAACCAGAACCTGGACCTGGACCAGAACCAGAACCAGAACCTGGACCAGAACCAGAACCTGAACCAGAACCTGGACCAGAACCAGAACCTGGACCAGAACCAGAACCAGAACCTGGACCTGGACCAGAACCAGAACCTGGACCAGAACCTGGACCAGAACCAGAACCAGAACCAGAACCTGGACCAGAACCAGAACCTGGACCAGAACCAGAACCAGAACCTGAACCTGGACCAGAACCAGAACCAGAACCTGGACCAGAACCAGAACCAGAACCTGGACCAGAACCAGAACCAGAACCAGAACCTGGACCAGAACCAGGAACTGCACAGATTCTCTGTGGGGTCAAACTCAGTAGATATTGATCAGATGATGATCAGATGATGATCAGATGATGACATCACTGTTATCATATTTTAGTCTGTTTATGATCCAGATTGATTTCATTAGAACTGAATTTATTTCTTCTCTAATCACAGACTTGGTGGCTGTTTGCTCTTAAAGGCTGAATGTGAAGTTTTGACCTCGGCTCTGAAGTCCAACCCAAATCTGACTGAACTGGAAATAAATCAGATCAACATATATAAAGGTGGAGAATCTGATATGAATCATCTGGTTGAGATCCTGGAGAATTCAGTCAGTAAAGTGAAGAAACTGGGGTTTGTTTTCTCTATTTATTCAATAAAATCATTTATTGATACTTTAATCAATAGTTAATCAATTTAATGTTAATATATATTATTTTAAAACAACCTGTTTAATCATGAGAATAAAATCTCTAAAACTTTTGACCTTATTAATTATTTTCTTATTTCAGACTTTGAGATTATTGAACTTTGTTTTTCAGTTTTTCTCTTTAAAATGTTTTTGATGAACAAAATGAGTAAAATAATTGAAATGCTGTGAATGAATGATGGAGATGTTTCAGTTTGGTAAAGATTCAGATGCTTTTATTTCTGATTCTTTACATCAGAATGAAATGTTGATCCTCCAGAGCCACAAACACTGACGAGTTCAAATCCTCATTAATGAACGTCTAAGAAACCACTGATTGTAGAAAAGCAAATCTAGATGCAATGAATGAAAGTGAGGTTTGCAGCAGCAGCAGGTTCCTCAGCTTTGTCCTGAGGCTGTGGTTCTGTTGGGCCGGGTCAGAGAGGAACCGTCTCCTGAGGAAATAATGGCCTCCATTGGCTTTCAGCAGCTTTAATAGGAACCCAAAGGCCATTAATGAAGAACCTGACTGGTTCTGATCCAGTTACCAAGTCGGGTCTGATGATCAGGAACCAGCAGAAATAGCTCAACTCATCCAGACTGATAGAAAACTTTGAGTTTCTTTGTTGATCAAATGTTCTGGTTCTGCTGGTTTGGACTCTTTAAACCAGTTTGACTGGATCAGATGTTAGAATCAGTTCATCATGTTTCTTTTACATTCAGGGAAATTAATTTATACATTTTATTATTTATTTGTTCGTATTTCAGTTTTAACTGCATCCTGTTGGTTCACATCTTTTATTCTTTATTCAGATTGATGGACTGCAGTTTCTCAGAGACCAGCTGGACGTCTCTGTTCTCAGCTCTGAAGTCCAACCCGACCCATCTGACAGAACTGATCCTGAGCGGAACCAACCTGGAAGGTTCTGGACTGAAGAATCTCTGTGGTTTTCTACAGACTGAAGGCTGCAGACTGGAGACATTGAGGTATTTTAATGATATAATTATTGATATTTCTGTGAATAATTCTATATAATTGATCATCAATCAAAGTTCATTTCTTCTGATCTAATCAATATTTTCTGAGTTTGTTCCTGGATCCAGAGTTTAATTTAGTTTCTCTGTGTAACTGAGTTGGACCTGCTGATCTGAGGTCAGAACAGGACAGCATTCGGACCCCAGTGTGTAGAAATCCCCCTCAGGTCAAGCAGGTCAAAGGTCAACATGAAATGTCCCTTTATTGAAGATCCATAAATCCCACATTAGCTTTAAATCTCCTGCTATTAGTTGATGATGATCCAGTCCAGGTTTACAGAGTCCAGGTGTTGCAGTGCTTAACTAGACCAGATTAAAGAAGCTGATATCCTGATCAATATTCCCATTTCTGCAGCGTCTCTGATGAACGATTCAGAACCAGAACCAAATGACCCACAATGACCTCACAGAGAAAAGGATCAATATTTTCTAGTTGATGGTTCAGAAACTGAATCAGCACAAAATGATCAACTTTCAGAATGTGATGATATGATAAAAGGATTGAAATCAACCTGTTTCCATCTGTCATACTGAGCAATGAGCTGCAGTTCAAATACAAGCAGCAAAAAAAACATCATTAATAGATTAATGAAGAAAAAACTGGAGCCATAAAATATCAGCAGATCAATGATGGACAGAGCAGTCGGAGAATCCAGAGCCTGGAAGGAAACATGGAGAGAAAAACATCCACTGAGTTTAAGATCCTCAGAAACTTTGAGACAAACTTTGAGTTTCTTTGTTGATCAAATGTTCTGGTTCTGCTGGTTTGGACTCTTTAAACCAGTTTGACTGGATCAGATGTTAGAATCACTTCATCATGCTTCTTTTACATTCAGGGAAATTAATTTATACATTTTATTATTGATTTCTTCATATTTCAGTTTTAACTGCATCCTGTTGGTTCACATCTTTTATTCTTTATTCAGATTGTTTGGCTGCAGGTTATCAGAGACCAGCTGGACGTCTCTGTTCAGCTCTGAAGTCCAACCCGACCCATCTGACAGAACTGGACCTGTTCAGAACCAACCTGGAAGATTCTGGACTGAAGGATCTCTGTGGTTTTCTACAGACTGAAGGCTGCAGACTGGAGACATTGGGGTATTTTAATGATATAATTATTGATATTTCTGTGAATAATTCTATATAATTGATCATCAATCAAAGTTCATTTCTTCTGATCTAATCAATATTTTCTGAGTTTGTTCCTGGATCCAGAGTTAATTTAGTTTCTCTGTGTAACTGAGTTGGACCTGCTGATCTGAGGTCAGAACAGGACAGCATTCGGACCCCAGTGTGTAGAAATCCCCTCAGGTCAAGCAGGTCAAAGGTCATCCAGTCTAGAAAAGTGAATTCCTGGAATCTGACAGGAACAAATCAATAATCAATGATTGATGCTTCAACACTTTGATCAGAACCTGGAATGATTTTACTGACTAAAATCCTCCAACTCATCATGACCCAGTACCAGGTTCTGGTTCTGGTTCTGAAGTCAGCAGGTCTTTATTGGAGCAGCAGCTTGTTGGCATTAATATTCATGAGAATCTTTAACTGGTTCTGTTGGACTGGTTAACCTGCATCCTGTTGGTTCACATCTTTTATTCTTTATTCAGGTTGAATTGCTGCAGGTTGTCAAAGATCAGCTGTGATTATTTGGCCTCAGCTCTGAAGTCCAACCCGACCCGTCTGACAGAACTGGACCTGATTGGAAACAACCTGAAGGAATCAGATGTTCAGCAGCTGAAGGATCTTGTAGAGACTTTAGAGTAAGTAAATGTTTGCAGTGAGTCCAGCTGCTGTCAGCATATTGAACTAAACCCAGTCAGCATCAGAGCAAAGATCCAGTGTTCCCAGTAAAGCTGCAGCTTCTCAGTGGGAGGAGAATGGTTCAGGCTTCCTGATTGGACACAGCAATCAGCCAATCAGAGGAGCAGCAGCTTGCTGTGTTGTTGCTGTGTCCATGTCTCCAGGACGTCCAGCTGGACTCCAGCGTCCAACATGTCTAGAGACAGTGGTCCTCATTCATCAAACAGCAGCAGATCTGATCTCAGACCTGCTTGTTCTCTCAGTTCAACAGGAAACAACTGATCAGGTTCATCTTGGTCACAGCTCTGAGATCAGTCTGACTGGAAACCATCTACTGGATGTGCTGCGTCACTGACTGCTACTGGAAACACTCACTGATCTGCTCTCCTTCCTTCTTGTCTCTGCAGGTGGAAGATCTGATGATCTCTGTAAAGTAGAGAACGTCTCTGTGTCCTGCTGATCCTCACAGGTTGAAGCTGCAGCAGTTTGAGTCTAAAGAGACTCTGGATCAATGATGACCTTTGACCTCAGAACATTTTCTATTTCAAATATTTTCCAGACGTCGATTGTTGAAGATTTTCAGTTTTATTTTTCATCTGATCTGTTTGATGATCTGCAGGAACAAAGAGAGAAAAATACTCTGAGTTTGTTAGAAAAGTTGAATTGAGCAAAAACATGAAGCATAAATTTCATTAAAAAGCTTTAAAGAGTTTGTTAATGGGACAAAATGTTATTTTATTCTGTTGAGGTGAAAAAAGTTGATCTAAAATCAGACATGATAGCAGCTCTATAGATTCAGAGCCAAACAGTAAAACTTCCTCTGGATCTGTGGCATTAAATCCACTTGAGATCCAGACGTCCTGACCAGATCCTGCAGAGAAAAGAAACAATATTTGAACGTGGATCATTTGGACTCGGCTGCTTGGACGTGTGTTTGGATTTGAAAGGTTTTGTTGTGAAGCAGAAAGTTGATGAAGTTCACAGTGAAGACGACTTCAGTCCACCTGAAACCTGGTTTCACTCAAACGTCTTTATTCACTTTAAGTTTCTGATGCAACAAGAAGGAAGAAAAGGTCAAAGGTGAACCAGAGATCGACTCCATGTTGCTCACAGATGTGATGGGATCAGTTTGCACAGCTGTTCAAGGAGAACAGTTTTATTTTCCTGCTTTTGTTGATGGATGCAAATTTGCATCAGAAGATGAGAAAATAACTTTCTGTGGTTTATTTGTGTGGATTTAAAGTGGAACAAGTTTAAAGAAAAACTAGAGGAGAAACCTGAGCCAGCGTTCTGACAGACCAAACACTGAGGAACCAGAGTTTGCATCGTCAAAGTGACGAAATCATCTGAATGTTGTGACTCGTTTCCCATCAAATCCCTGACAGGAGAAGCAAAACCTCACGTCTCCAACATGAAGCTGCAACAGGATGCAGAACTTCCACCGAGCGTCACGTCACTCACAGCAGATCAGGAGCCTCGCGCTTCACCTCAACACCGCCTAAAACCTGGGACCAGGGGTTAAAGGTCATCTCCTGCACCTAGTGCAACATTTCACTTCTTATGAGAGCGCGTCTCAGTTTAGAGGCCAAAAGCAGCAAGAAGCTTCAGAGTTTTCCTGCAACGTAGCTCTGGTCTGTTGGCTTCAGTGAGGCTGGTTTTACTGAAGATGTGTTCAGGTACGCAGGAAAATTCAGCGCTGATACAGACGGGACGAGCGACTCCACCTCTGATGATGCTTGGACAAAAGTTAATATGTTCATGAGATGAAACAGTTAATTTTCCTCACATATCAGGACATTCTCCATCGGTCATCCTGCCGTCGTTCTGGATTTATTCATTATTTACATCATCAATAGAAATTGTTCAACCAGATGTTTCTCTTTGTTTTAATTTTCACTGTTATAAAGTCAGATCAAGTCAGCTTACATTACTGTTGTTAAATAAGAGTCACTGCAGGATTTTATTCAGTTTGATTAGAAATAAAACGTCTTGTAAAGAGTTTAAGCAGCTTTATTTTATAATTTTAAACAGTTTTTAAAATAATAAAGAACAGTTATTCTTATGTCAGCTGGTTGTTTTTTTCTTGATATTTGAAGCTTTTTCACACTTTCATTCTCAAAATTAGCCACAGTTAATATTTCTGGGATTGTTACACAATAAAATGTAGGATTTTTTCAAACTAAATTTCCATCTATAGTAAAATAAAATATTACTTTATAAGTAGTTGTTCACTTTGTATCTAAATTATTCTAATAATTAATCTCCATCTCTAATAACATACATGTATGAAATATATAAATTATCATTCACAGGATTAAGTTAATATAGCTGTTATTAGAAACTAGTGAAAAGGTTAAAGTATTAATTTTATGATGGTTGATTGAGTTCTTACTGCCCTCTGGTGGTGAACTGTCATAACTACAGACATTCTTCGTATAAATTGTTAAACCGGATGTTTGTTTTAATGTAAAATTTTATAACGTCAGATCAAAGTTAACTCCAAACAGTGAATCAAAATGTCTGAATAATATACGAGTCAGAAATCTGTGATAATGACTCAGGATGTCTTTTAGTTTTCTCTAAACTCCACATTAATGGATATTAAACATAAATAATGCAGCATTATCAGGGCTGTAGTTCCCACTAAGGCCACCAGAGGGCGTAAATACCCCGCTCTGAATATAGAGGTGAGTTTGAAGAGCTGCAGCTGGTTTCTGGAAATCAGTGTTTTATCTGTCAGTGTGAACTAGAAGCATCTCCACAGAGACGAAAACATCCCGCAGAGACTCTGAGCGGAGCTAAAGATGCTAACAGACTAGCAGCGGCTTCAGAGGAGCTGTGGTTCTTAAAACTGGAGCTTCAGCTCCAACAGAGCTGAAACAAACTCTGGTTTAGGCGATAAGATGCTGAGCTTCCGGTCTGAAGGTAGGAAAATATTTATGAAAAGTTAAATTATTCTGCAAACAGTCAGAATGATGTTGATGTTTTAGCTGCAGAGCCGCGAACTGAACTATTAATATCAGAGCAGGCGGTTTCTGCCCTCTAGCGGACACAGATGATAACTACACCTACTTGATAAAGTTAGAGCGTTTACAAACTACATTCACTTCCGGTGAGTACTTTCACATTAAGAGCCATAGAAACGAGTTCCTCTGTTAGCTTTCATTTGAAATAATAAATTTTACTTCTGTTGTTTTTCTCTCTGAAACAATAAACTGTTATTCAAAAGCAGCAAATTAAATTTTACTCATCTCAAACTGAAATGATTATCAATTCATAAAAGTATTTTAATAACAATTAACAACCGATCTCTGACCCGGTTCCCTCTCTGACCCGGTTCTCTCTGACCCGGTTCTCTTTGACTCTCTTGTGTTTATGAAATCAGTTCCTACATTCAGAGACTCAATCTGAAATGTTCTTTAGGAGAAACTTCATCTGGTTCTGATGTTGAAGCTGCAGCTGAATCCGTCTCAGGATTCGGATCAGAATCCAGTTCGTATCACCGATCAGCATCACTGTGGCTCCAGAACCTGGCCTATCTCTACCTACAGGCCGGAGGAGGCCAAGAGGTCAGAGGGCAGAACCACAACTGGACCTGGTGCCGTCATGTCGATGTTTTTAGATTTAATCTAAAAATTAAAGATTAAATCTCTCTAATATAAATTAGAGAGATTTTAGATTCTCTCTAAAGTCTCAATTTTTAGAGATTCTCTGGAGATAAAACAGAAAATTACAGTTGGAATAACAAAGGTCAACAGTTTGAATTATGAGACAAGAGTTTGTGATAATTTATTAAAGAATGTGACTTTTATACTAAAAGGTGTGGAAAGAAGAATCCAGTCAAACTTTGCTGTTCTGCCAACAAAGTTTATTTATTGAGTCATTTGCACCAAAGCAGCTTTCAAAATGCCGCCCTTACATCCAGCAGTCCATCAATTAACCAGTGAAGCCCCGCCTCTCAATTTGCCCGGCCAATCAAAGTGCAGCCGGTTCTATTAAAGAGCTGTGTTTGAGGCGGGCCTCTTCTTTAGCAGAATCCCAAGATGGCTGCCGCAAAGGACTCACCCTGAAGGTAGCAAACATTTCACAGACAAAGACTCATTTACACGCTGGAATTCAACAAGTTTTAGAAAAACTGAGTCCTTCCTAACAGAGACATGAAGTAACACGACAATGACCTGATTTCTGGAGCCTCGGCTCAAAACTCTGAGCTAAATAGAGGCTAAAAGCAGCTCAAGGTTCTGAAGCTACGATTCATAAGATGCAGGAGGAGAAACTCTGGAGAGTTTTTAGTTATTTAGTAATAAACTTTTCACAGTATTGCTGCATTTCATCTGCCATATATAATTATCAATAATGACTTGTTCATCTCTTTCCAGGTGAGCTGTGGTCTCCACTGGATGCAACAGCCAGAAGAGAAGCAGCACCAGTGCAGCAGAGGGCGCTGTTCAGGTGAGCGGTACCTCACCTGAAACCCACCGGAGGAGACAGGAAGTGATTTCATGTGTCCTCAACTCCTCAGGATGTCGATTGACTTCATACTTGCTGCAGCATCCAGTAAAACAGAATCAGTTCAAACTTTGGCACTTGCTGTTCAGGCCAACAGCTTTAGGTCTGTTGGACTTAAAGCTCAGAGTTTCTCTTTGAATAACTATATTTAAATAATTTTTCAGTTTCCAGTCTGCCATTTTCACCGTCTCTCCCAAAGGAGAGCGTCTTCATTCCCGCCTCCCAGATGGTTGTAGCTCTGTAAGGTGATGGAGTTCAGGGCTGAGAGCTTCCAGCCTCAAATACTCACATGTTCAAGTTTAAAGAACGACTTCAAAACTAAAGTATAAAGAATCTAAGAACTGAAATCGCTCCAAAAACAAATGATTGAACAAATAAAGCAAGCTGAGCCTGATGAACCAGATGTATCTGGCTCTGTTTGTACTTGTTGACTTTGTTAGCAGCTTTGACCTCTCAGTCTGAGAAGAGTCTCCTCTGAGGGAGAATCCTTTTCCAGATCAAACTCATCCAGATCTTTTTCTGATGACGGTAAGATGAAGACCAGAGCCGACCACTGAGCAGGAGACAGTTTACCAGAGGACAGACGTCCTGACTCAGAGACTGTTGGATCTCCTCCACTAGAGAACGATGGTTCAGTTCATTCAGACAGTGGAAAAGGTTGATGATCTTCTCTACAGGCAGATTGTCGCTGATGTTCTTCTTTATGTACTGAACTGTCTCCTCATTGGTCTGAGCTGCTTCCTGTCTGTGTGTACGAGTCTCTGATTGGTCTGCCGCGACAGCAGGAAGCGGACGACCAGGTCCAGGTTTCCATTTGGACTTCTTGAACAGCCATCTACTGCTCTGATGAATCATTGTTTCTGTTCTTCACTGCAGTTCTGTTTCCAGGATGTTGAAGAAAAGTCCTAAATCAGTAACTGGCAGAGTGAGAGAAACGAAAACCTGCTGCTGGTGTTGATGTGTCAGTTCACTGGAAAAGGTTTTCACTGGAAAAGGTTTTCACTGGAAAGGTTTTCACTGGGTGTAATTGTGACGTGCAGAAGAGAAATCCTGAACCAGAAATATTTCAGTTTAGTTAAGATTCCTCAGATATTCCTGAGCTGAAAGCTGCGACACTTTGTGTGAACATTTGTGGAAAGTAGTTTCAGTTCATGAGGTTTGAATGTGAATCTGAGGTCGCCTTTTCTTGTTTTTCTCCGGGCAGAGGAGACGTGGAGATCAGCCTGGCTCCTGACGGTTCACTCCGACCCAGATCTACAGAAACAGGTCGGTTCTAAGGTCCGTCCAAACGACTCTCTGGACCCGAAACGCAGCAGAACATTCCTGCATCCAATCAAATGCGATGCAGACGTGCAAACATGCAGGAGAAATGTTGCAACCATTCAGCTCAAAAGGAGAAATTCGTAACAGACACAGAGTCTCTTTACAGACAGGAATATAATATTTATATATGTAACGTAGAAGCGACGGCCATTTTAGACAGTTTAACGTCTGGATGCAGCGATCCGATGTTTCGTATTGACCATCTGAATTCATTTAAAACGGTTTTATGATTTGAAAACTGGTGTAAAAGTTGTGGATTATAAATGTAGCTGATGAGCAGCATCAGTGCAGCTGAATCCACCAGAAGCTCCAGTAGTTTAATAAATAATAAAGAAACAGATGAAAGCAACAAGTTGACCAACTCAGTTCAAACATGTCGATAAACGGCGACAAACATTTGAAACGGTTCAGAAAGTCCGATTAGTATTCTAAGTAAAACGTAAATTAAATAACGAAGCATTTTAAACATAACTGGCCTCTGGTCTAGTTAAAGCTCACAGATGAGCTACTTTCTGTTTTGCTTTTGTTTTTAGTGCATCATGGAGCTGGCAGATGCGCTCCACTACAGAGACATCAAACCAGAGAACCTGTTGCTGGAGGAAACGGGGAGCTGAAGATCGCTGACTTTGGTTCTTCTGTTCACATTCCTCTTTAAGGTATGTGCATGCTGACATGTTAGCATGCTCTGTAGTCATTTCAGCTCTGACATTGTGTTGTTCTGTCCATGCAGGAGGTCCACCCTGTGTGGATCGCTGGACGACCAAACTCAGGATGAGAAGGTGGACCTGTGGAGTCTGGGGGTCCTTTGCTATGAGTGTCTTGTTGGAAAACGTCCATTTGAAACAAAAGTCACGATGAACCTACCGTAGGATTTCTAAGGTAGAATGCTGATGAATGCAATAATTCAATTCCTAATTTTCACAGGAGTTTTATCCAAATATTTGAGCTTTTTGGAGCACAGAGATCCAGAATAAAAATCTTTTAGGCAGACGGACCAGCTAACATGTTGTTAATATTTATTATTGGTGTAGGTGGAGTACAGTTCTCCTCCACATGCTTCCATTAGTGCCGGAGCTAAAGACTTGCTGGCCAAGCTGCTGCAGCCCAACCCCATGCACAGGTTGCCCATTGAAGGCGTCGTCTCCCATCCCTGGGTCCTCAAACGCTCCACCAAGACGCCCACGACTTGTGAGTCATTTCTGAGTACGTCTTTCCCAGCACCGGCTCCATCTTCCGTGTCCAGGATCCACTGATTTGGAAGGACAGTTATCAATATTTTAAAAGTACATGACAGCCAAGAGGAAGTATGTTAATAAAAGTCATCCTTTCATGTTTTGAATTTTTGGGGGGTTTGAATTCTGTTTCTGTAAACATATTTACACACGAGAGGAAAGAGAGACAAATTAGCTGTAGATTTTTTGGTGGAGATGTTTTTAATCCAGCAGAAATTGAAGGAGATTATCCCCATTTCTGAACTGAAACATGTGTTCTGAACTTTTAGATTTATTTTTCAAAAGTATTAAAATGGTAAAGCAGCAGTCACATTGAAACATTGAAGTGTTATGGATATATGATTTTATGTTGTTCCTTTTAGTCTGCTTCCAGGAAGACGTCCTGCTCCATTTTTATGTCACTCTGCATGACTTGTAAGATTTGATCCTTTTCTTTATGCTGAACAAAATGTGTTTATTTGTCAAGCTGAAACGTCCGAGGGGTTTTGTTTGAGTCCAGTGGCCAAAATGGAGCCGATAAGAACAGGAAGGCCCAACATTTTTGCAGGGAAAGTCAATTATCTCTGCAGGTTTTCCATGAAAACTAACTGGTAAGTCGTTGTCAGTTTGAGATTTTCTTCCCTCTGTGTCCTTCTAGATGAGACGCAGCCGCGGGAAAACAAAAAGACCAATGTTCACGTCCTCTACGGAACCAGAGAGACGGACTTTCAGACGGGGAAACAGCCGGAGACCATAACAGAACAGCCTTACCTCTGGTCATGTGCTCGGCCTCGCACATTCTGGGCGAGCGTTGGACGCCAGGCAGCTGTAGCGACCGCTGTCCTCTTTGCTTTGAACTCCTGCTGAAAAGCAAAACTTCAACTGGGAATCCAGAAAATGAACTACCTGGCAAAACTAAATGTTATGTTTGAATCAAGTTTTTCTAGCATATTTTAGACCAAAAGTAGTAAAACAAAGTAAGGCGGCTGGTTCAGAATGCTGGCGCTCACATTCTCACTAAAACCAGAACCATGGAGCGGTTCTAAGGTAGAACACTTTCAAATACTCTTACCACTGAAATACATTAAAGACTTGTTGCATCAACCTTCCAGACCACCCAGGTTGTGGTCTGTTCTGCATGCTGATAAGCAGCATTCAGCTTCTACTCACTGCTAACCTGGAACAAACTGTCAGAAGATGAAACCCTGAGTGAAAACTCATCTGCTTCGCCTGGTTTTAATGACGTAAAGCACTTCCAGCTGTCTCCTGTGTGTTATACAAATGAACTTGGACTCAGTTTGAGATGTTGAAGCAAAAAGAGGTTCTATATAGATGGTCTGAATTTGAAAACATTTAAAATCCTGCATATTATAAACTGTGTTTAACCTCAGTTTAGTAAGATTTGGCTTTAAAGTAGACGGTCATAAACGCTCGAGCCGCCTTCTGTTTCTCCCCTCATCTGCATGTGGGAGTTGATTAGATGGGTCGCGTTGGCGTGACGAGGCTTGCTGATTGACTTGTGTCCTTGAACCAGGAGTACACGGCGGGCGGGACGCTCTGCTGGTCCCGACAGCGCAGCCGGACCGCCGAGCCCGTCACCACCGAGGCCGTCACCACCGAGGCAGGGACTTCGCATGCGGGAGTTTGTGGGGGGAACTGGGTGACAAATAAGAAAGGGTGAGTCAGAACTTTGGTTTGTCCAAAAAAAAACCAAAAAATCAGTTTATGTTTCTTCCTTACCCAAGACGTTGAGGGTCACATTGGTCTCGCCCAGGCTGACCGTGTCCGGACGCGCTGATCTCGCAGCGGTGCTCTCCGTTGTCCTCCTGGGTCACTCTGTGCAGGGTCACTCTGTGCAGGGTCACTCTGTGCAGGGTCACTCTCTGCTGGGTCACCGTCGTCCCGACCATGGTTGCTCGGCCTTCGAAGGGACCTGGGAGGAATGTTGGAAGGTCTTGAAAGCTGAGAGCGTTGCAGAAGAAAGACTTTGCAATTTTTAATTTTTTTCCCCCACAGTAGCAAATTCAGCTGCAGTCAACTTTACTCAGAGCTGGTTTTAAGTCAAAACAAGTGAAGTGATATTGAACTGAAGGGATGTTTTCTCAGTGAATCCCAACTAAAGCATAATCGTCAAACTAAAATCGAAACCTAAAGTGACAAGGCTGCAGTTGTAGAGGTTCTGAAACAGAACAGAACGGAGGATTTGGTCCAATTTGCAGAAAAGTTGGGTATGATGAGTGGATTTGCATCAATGATACCAACTTAACTTGCCAGTTTCATAGTGTTAGCATTCAGAGCTGAAGCTCAAATAAACATGCTTCTTAATGAAGCAAGAGCCACAACTGGCTAATGAAGTGGAGGAGGTGGCAATAGGTCAAAGACAATCATTAACAGGATCTGCCTGCTGAGAGCTTGTGTTCATTACAATTCAGACTTAAAGATGGAAGGTTAAACTTCCACCACACCACTGACCTTCATCAGTAGTTGATGATTAAATCAGCTTATCTGATGCATGGGTGGGACGCAGCTGGGATTAAAACGAACCTCTGAAGCTTCCTTCAAAGTAGACGAAGGAGACATCTTTTGTCTTCTTCCTCCACTCGATGCGCGGGTTCGGGTCTCTGTCTGTGTGGAAGAGGCACAACAGCTCTGCATCTGAAAGGTGGGAGAGCGGGACCAATCAGAGGCCTCCATTTTAATGGCCTGATCTTTTTATATCTGCCTGCTTTACTGTCGTGCAGAAAGTGGACAGAGGTGTTTTCTTTGCTTGTTCTCCTCCTTTCCTCACCTGAGAACTCCTCCACCCCCACCTTAGGTCTGTTGATTGACACGGCTACAGGAAGTGAAGGGGAACCTGGAGGAAGAACACAGTTGCCTGCTGAAAACATCTGGTGCCATTAAAGGTTTAACAGTTAACTGTTTATTGTACCAGAATTCAGAAGTAAGAAAGTAATCATCAAAATTCAACCAAAACCTGACCAAAGACAAACCAGGAGGCTAATGTCAGTACAAAAAGCTGATATTCACATTTTCTCCCAAACCAGGCTTTTTTTTGACCTGTTGGTTTACTAAACACAAGACATGCAACAGATGCAGAGTTCAGTTTCGAGCCGAGTCACTGGACAGTTCCCATGTCCTTGCAATGATAAAGAAAACATTTACACAGTGAAGCACTGGATCATATTTGAGATGACACTAAAAGCAAAGGAAACAAAGTGGCATCGTGATTGTGATGAGTAGGTTTCTGAGGATAATGAGCAACTTAAGGAAGCTGCTGCAAAGGTCATTAGAATAACCCATGGGGTCATAAGGTTCATTATGAGAAGGATTGTGACAGGAAAACATGTTTATATTTTTGTGCCATTGTCACTGAAGGCCTCTCTACATAGGTAGAGATATTTTCAGAGCAACAGTCTACTGAACTAAAACAAGACATGAAATTTCAACAATGTTAGACAATCTGAAACACTAAAGTGACCAAAAACTGAACTCTGACTGAAGTTTTCATAAAAACATTCCATATGCACGTTGAGAAAACCTTTTCTAACGAGAGAAAATAAAGATATTGTCAAAAAAAAAGACAGAAAGGCAAAAAGAAAAGAAATATATATATATTCATACACACCACCGTAAAGGCTTAAAATAAATTAAAACTGATTAAGTTACAGCAAAAACATTTATTCCACAGTGAGAGAAGTTTTGGAGTTAATGCTACACAAGCTCCTAATGACTGCTTAGATATGAGCAAGCTGTGTATTTCTGTAGTTATCTCAGTGAGAAGACAGGAGCTTGATTTGTTTTCACCTGCCATAAACCAGAAGGATTGTAGTGTGTCATAACAAGATGTGACCACGAGAGGGCGGTGGAGAGACAGTTTCTGGCGAAAACCACCTTAGAAAGACAGTCAGTGAATCATCTTGTTCAACATAATTTACTGTTGATCTTTGTCCTAATATCCACTTCTATCAGTTCGGAGAAAAAACGGAGTTTATTTCATAAGTAAATCAGAAAGAGCTAGGGTTTTTACTCTTTTGTGATGAATATTTAATATTATGTACAAGTTTTTTTATACATTAGCGTTTGAAACAACAAAATCAGAGGAAGCTACTTAAAAGCACCATATTTGTAACACTCGCAATATGCTAACATCATGGCAGATTAACAAACCAAAGGTGCACAAATTACAGAAATTATTTAACACATTTTGATTTTTCTATATTCTGCTCCACACCTTTCAAAAAGATTTTTTAATCAAATGTAAATTTCTTAATTAAAACTAATAAATGCCTATGATAAACAGTATTATTTCGCAGAAAAAACAAACCACATCTCACATTTGCACATGACGCTGAAAATCGAGTCTTCAGTCACCACCGCTTTCGTCACGACGTGAGAGAGAAACGTCATCACGTCAGGCGGCATTGCAACTGGAGAAAATCCAATTCATGCTACAATGATTAGGTAAGTTTTTAAATGTAAATAATGCGCTGCTAAAAGGTTCAGAGTTGGAATTTAAACATACAGAAAAGACCAAAACAAGCTAACAATTAAAAAAGATCACCCGGAATAAATCAGTAAGTGCAAATAAAAATGTTTTTTAAGAGCTGATTCAAAGATACTTGAGATTTGGGGAAGACCTACAGTTGTGAGTGAATTTATAATATTTAAAATAACCAGGTTTACAAGTAAAATCAGACAGTAAACTACAGACACAGGAAACACACAATGTTATATTGCAGATGTCATAGATTAGTGTGTATTAATATGTACAACTTCTGCTAGCAGGAGAAACATTTTACTCTTAAAAAACAGAACATTGCAATGACAGGAACTTGAAAATGTTCCATACTCTTGTACGATTAGAAATTTCTCAAGAATCATTAGTTCTGAGTAATTATTGGAGTCTTTGGACATTAAAATGTTTCTTGTTTTACTTAGATTTTATCTCAAGAAACAAAACGAGAAATATTTTGATGTTAAACCATTTCCCATGATGCATCTGACAATAGAGGGTCCTACAACATGGAGCCGGCCCATGTAATAAGCGACTCTGACTGCTCAGGGTCCATCTGCTGTTATCATCTCTGATGTCATCATGTCTGTCTGAAATTAGATCTAAGCTGAGATGTTTATTATTTATAAATGTATTCATAAATCTATTGTCTCAACCTGCTTCTTGCTGCTGTAAAGTATTTCAGTAGCAGCTTTCCTTCAGTTACTGACTGATGACCTCATGTTGTTCATCTACAGTATCTAGTTAAACTTCATCTATTGGTTATTTTGTTATTTTTATGTATTTTTATTTTCATACAGTCATTTTTTTTTTATTTTTGATGACATACTACGTACAATAGTATGTCGATTTTTTTCAATATCTCGGACGACAGACTATATAGTATGTCGTTTTTTTCAATTTTTATACTATATAGTATGTCGTCCGAAATATAGAAAGAACGACATACTATATATAGTATGTCGTCATATATATATAAAGTCAGATAAATTAGCAAAAAGGGCTTTTGATGAGGCAATAACGATGAAAATACCTATTGGGAAAGGGGAAGGAAAATCCATTATTAAGAGTAAAGAAATGGAAATTTGGCAAAAAAGGTGGAATGAAGATAAGAAAGGAAGGGAATTATATAAAATACAGAAGTCAGTAGTAAGTAGAAATATTAAGGAGAGAAATAGAAAGGAAGAAATAATGATGATTAGATTAACAGTAGGGCATACATATTGAAATGATACTTTATATTTAATAGGGAAGAAAAACAATGATATGTGTGAAGAATGTGGAGAGAATGTAAACATAGAACATGTATTAATGAACTGTAAAACATGAACGTGAAAGGGAGAAATTGAGAAGAATAGTTGGAAGGACAGATCAAGAATGGAGTTTGAAAGGAATACTGGGAAATGATGGAAATATAATGGATATTTACATATTAAGGAAATCATTATTTATTTGTCTTCAAAATACAAAATTAAAAAAATAGAATCTGACTGAAGTAAAATACTGTTGCTACACACTCGTGTACAGTAGGTGGCGGTATGCACCTTAAAGTTGCTTGCGATCCGCCATAATAGAAAAGAAGAAGAAGAAGGCCAGGGTTCTTGAATTATTCTGAAATGTTTGTTTTTTTATTTAGAAAAGTAAACAAAAACTATTTTAAACAGGATCAGGAACTGAAGTCGGTCATGTAGTGAAAGACGACTGGATGGATCCGACTGACTGAAACTTTAACAACAAACATCCACAAGTTACTGGATGATAAAAACTATTTCCTCCTTTCTGGGTCTTTTTCTTCTGCCCAGATCATTGATTAATATCTGGATCAATACAGTGGAGATGCAGAGGAGATAATAATGTTCCTGTAAAGCTGATCACAGTCAAAAGACGTTTTTACACCAAGATTGAATCAAACTGACGGCTTTAAAACTTTTACACAGTAATGTTTCATTTTTAGATGTTGTCTTTCATTATTATTGTAGCAGAATGAAGCCTGCCCTCAGGATTGAGGACATGTGGCACCTATTGCCTCATAATCAGTGTGAGCATAAAGGAGACTCTCTTCAGTGGGAAGGTCACCTGGTTGACTTGCAGTGGTCGAAACTCTGAAATCAGTAAGTAATGTTTCTCCTTCTGTATAAGGCCTGTAACTTGAGCTGGATAATTCAAATAGTTTAAATCTAGAAGCTGCCTGAAGTCTCCTGTTTGATGGTGGGGTGTGGCTGTAATTTACCCTCCCCATTCAGCTTGGCAACAGAAAACGGCTCAGTAGTTTTATATTGTACTCATGCAGTTCAATAACATGAAATGACAATTATTTCTATATTAAACATACTGGTAATCGGATCCTCCTGCCATTTGGCTGGAAGGCTCTCTGGTCGGGGTGGAGTCATCCAGCTCTGCTAGGTGACAATGGCTTCCTCTTCCTCCTGCCATTTTTCTAAATCTCTCCTATTAATCTAACTTCATTTCAGACATAAAGCTGCTGCAGCTCACTGGAGGCCCTGCTGCTTTGTTTTTGCTTTGTTTGTTTTTTATATCCTGCTTTGTTTTCAACTATTGGTTTTCTGGGTTTATCATTTTTGATTAAATTTGCTTTGTTTGACCCCATCCTCTTGTCTCCAGGCTGAAGGCAGTAAGGGTGGTGGGGGGGCATCCAGGGGCCTGGACCCGTGTGATGTGCAAGTGACCAGTGTTGGGATTTCTTCACGATCAAGTGTCTGTTCACAAGAGCTCGGTGATTTATTTTGTTTTAGGAACCAGGACCCCACATTTGGGCTGGTAAACCTCAGTACGATGCAAATCTCTTCCCATTGTGGTTCTTTAATTTTTGTTTTAAAACATGGATCAATGATATTAACTATTTTATGGTGGAATAAAGTTTTGTTCTCGTTGTTTACGAACCTTAAGTGCCTTACTGACCAAGTTCTTGGGTGCAACTCCCAACGTGGCGTTGACACCTGTTGGTCACCCTGGTTTGAAGGGGCAGAGGAGTCGATTCATATACTCGTGTTGCCACACGATTATTTTTACCTTTAATCTACAGTAATGAAAATGGTTCCTCTCTTTGCTGCTCAGGTTATAAATGTTCAAACTGGTTGAACTGGTGGATGAAGAACTGGAGGCTGCAGAGCTGACAGGCTGGAAAACCATCAATCTGTCCAGATCTTCTGATCAGAACCAGAACCAGAACCAGGCACCAATAGAGAGCAAATCATTTAATTTACAAAAAACTAAATGAGCAAACTGAGGAAGGAGGAAACATTCCTGCACAGCAGAGACAGAAACTGATAAACATCTTCCAGTGAACGGCTGCAGCAAGTTAAAACCTGTTTGTAACTCTGCAGGTTTTTAATTTTCGTTGGAAACGTTTGAGACAAACTAGTTGAACAACTTAAAGCCTCCAGGCTAAAAGAGACAAAGATTAAAGAAGTTTATGTTCAGCAGTGAAGGAGGATCAGGTGAGAATCATCATGGAAAGTTTCCTTCATATCAACATTAAACACGATTAAATAAATGAATAAAATCTGTATTTAATATGAACATGTCAGATGGAGAAACATCAACATTTCAAGGTTCTTGGTTCTGTTGGCTCAGATCATAACAAGCAGCAACTATTATTACTTTTATTTGTTGTTAAATTTCTTTATAGATGAAACTGAAAATCTCCATTAATTTAATAAAATATTGATTAAAATCCTGAATATGTTTCAAACTTAAAGAAGCTTTAAACTGAAACATGAACTTGTTGTTTAACATTTATTTCCTGGTTTCTTGTTATTCAACAGGTGAACACACCTCTGCTGTCAGGGGCGGAGCCTCAGGTGGGTCCCATTAAAGTTCTGGAGAATCGGTCCGGTTCTCCAGTTCGCTCCCACTGGTTTGTGTGAACAGAAGGAGAAGCAAAGATCTGATCAGGTGAGTTTTAACTCCACATTCTTCTGGTTTCCAGTCCTGACTGGTTTCTCTCTCTGAGCTGCTGGTTCTGGTTCTGGTTCTGGTTCTGGTTCAGCTGAGATGTCTGGTTCCTGGTTGGTGGATGAAAATATTTCAATATGAAGTCAATAATTTATTGATCAGGGAGGATTTCTCCAGATTGAATCAGTCTGTGGAGCCAGAAGACAGCTGATCACATTTCAATCAATTATTGATCAGTAAGAAGTGATTATGGTGAAATATAAACACAGCGCCCCTAGAGTTTTTAAAAACATCCACTGCTGTTATTTAGACCTGAACTGAGTTAAAACGTCAAACCATCAGAACCAATAAAATTACTATTGGACCCGTTGCACACCCAGCAGGAAGTCGGCCATTTTGGATCAAATGTCTTGTTTGTTAGTTTGTTTGTTTCAATAGTGATGCGTAAATGACGCGTCATGAAACGTTTCCACCCCTTTACAAAACTGTATTGATATGTGTCACTCAATAGTGACACCTGCTGGACATTAAACATCCCTACAGGCAAAGCAGTTGACAGACATATTTCATCACCTGGTTTATATAATAAGACTTAAATCATGGTATTTTATTGTATTTATAAATTGTATTATGTCATCGGTTAAATTCTAAATCTTAGATTCTAAAATTTGATATTCTTCGATTCAGTCAATAAATGAAGTGAACATGGACCATAAAGTGAAAATTTAAGTGAATGTGTTTGGAATGAGGATGCTTAAAGACTGAGTGTTTTTATTTTTGTTTCTTCACAAATTTTTATAAAAAAGAAAAAAAAGTTTTTCAAATATTTTGAAGTTAGTTTGTTACGCTTTTTGACACAACTTCTACTGTAGAAAAATGAAGTAAACAATACATTTATATGAAATAATTAATAAAAAGCCACTGAGTATTTAGTAGAATGATTATATACCTGAGTTTCTCCAGGTGTGTCTGGGATTCATTCTGATGCCCTGTGATGCCTCAGCATTGAGAAGGTGAATTTATTGAAATAAGTCATTTCTGTCAAAAATGTGCAACTCTAAACCTGCAGAGCATAATATGAAAGTAAACTAACAGCTGAATTTGGATTCAGATAGATCAAGTAGAAAGTGAAAAGAACCGGATGAAACAACGACAAAGTGAAAACCAATTCATTATTTTCTAATTAAGATCAAATGGTCAAAATTACAAAACCTTTTGTTTGCTTTGAAAGGTTTCATAGTTGTCGCTGTACCGTAAAAGATCAAGAATTAGTTTGGAAATGTATCAAGTTGACAGATTTGCTTCCTTATAAACACAGTTGGCGCCTCAGTGTCATTTCAGTTCCTCTTGGTCATGTGACTGGATGAAAGCAACACGCACCGACACGATGTTTCGTCTAAGGGCTTCATGTATGCGCCAACACATCGGTGTTGCTGGACCCATCACTATTTTTGACATTTTGACCTTCCAAGTAAAAAGTGAACTAAAAATCTGAGGTTTGTTGTGAAAGCTCAGATGTTTGAGCTTCTTAAAAACCAAGAAAACTTTCCTCCACTCCGACCGTCGCTCTATTTCTGAGTCTCACTCTGTTTTTTAATAATTCAGCAAATATCTGATGAATTATGGTTCAACACATTAATAATTTTTACAAACCCTTAATAGTAAGTCTGAATTATTGAATTATTCCACTGACGGATATTTCCAGTCCAGTTCAATTGGTGGCAAGATTTTGACCTTTGACCTTTGTGCTTGTGTGTTTTTAAATAAATACTTTGGGGTACTTTTAGTTTCCATTCCAACTGCATAAGATAAAGTAAATTATTCATGACATAAAGTCTGAAACGTAATGAATCCTTCATGTTTTCCAGATAAAAGATGGCGCAGCAGCAGGAAGTCCAGCAGGAAGTGGATTTTGGTAAGTGATCAGAAGCAGAAATGAACCTTCATGAAGGAACAAACGGACCAATCACAGCCCGTGTTGCTGCCATGTGATGAACCTCAGCCTCACAGTATTTATTGTTTTCATGTTTCCTGTTCAGTGAAGCTCTGCTGGAAACTGAGTTTCTGTGAAACCTGAAGATAAAAATTTATCCAATAATCACATCATTTATTACTAATTTATTATCAAAGACTGTCTCTGTCTTTTATCCCAACATTTGGTGACAGAGATGCTAAAGCTTAGAGATGGAGATTAAAAACTTGTTGAAAGTAAAGACAGAAAAGTGATGAAAATGTTAATCAGTCGATATTTTCATCAATAGGTCAGACAGAGTCCATGACCCCTCTGTCTGACCTAGAACTGCCTTAAAGTTCAGTTCACAGATAAAAACTGAACACATTCACAGCCTCAGAATAAACTGGTCCATGCTGATGAACATCCCGGTGAAACAAAACTGGTCTTTTATTTTGAAAAAGGAAAACAGCTGCTTCCACTTAGGATCCGTTAGACTGATCCAAAACCTTTTGAAGTAAATGAGAAGGCCATTTCTCATATTCAATAGTACTGTGATTTGTATCTGTACCTCACTCACAGTAATAGCAGCGATGAGAGAGAAATGTTATGCCTGAGCACTGATATTTTTGATAAAAGAATGAAAATTAATAGTTAGGAGCCCAAGATATCCCAGTGACACCAGTAACGCTCTGGAGGACCTTGACAGAAAACCCCAGAGCAATTTCAAGATTGTAGGGAAGCTGACACTCGATGCAACGATCAAAATTTTCACCAATAGAGCAATGTTTGTAGGCGTGAGAGCAAGTTAAAAATGTTCAGCTATGTAATATGAGGTAAAGGTTAGGCAGTAGAAATCAATGGAAGTCAATGGAAAGTCCTCACAAAGATAGTCTGACAAACGTGTGTGTGTGTGTGTGTGTGTGTGTGTGTGTGTGTGTGTGTGTTGTGTGTGTGTGTGTGTGTGTGTGTGTGTGTGTGTTGTGTGTGTGTTGTGTGTGTGTGAGCATCTCAGCTGTAGTCCTACAGACAGAGACTGATCGGTCAGAACCCAGAGAACAGACACTAACAGGTTTAGTTTCTATTTTATTCACTTAAAGGAACAAAGTAAAGACACAACATGATTCCAGTTTAGACCTGAAAATGTTTAAACTCAGTTCTATCTCTAATTTTCCTTCCTAAGTTCTGCAGATGTTTGTGAGGAGATGAGCCAGCAGACATCAGAAGGTCATGAAGGACTGAAGGAGAGAACAATTCAAACCAGATGTTACCTACTGGAATCTGGTTCCTCTGATGATGGGAACCAGCTTTCTGCTTCACAGGACAGTTACTGGGACTGGATCACTGGAATGACTCTTCTCTCCAGAAGTCCAGAAGACGGAATATCGCATCAAAAGAAGGAGAGAGCAGAACCTCCAGGATCCATCAGTCCATCTATGAGGAGTGACCGGTCCAAGGAAACAACCCAAAGTTCAGTGATGAACCTGGATCCTCAGACAGAAAGTAAGAAACCAGTTTCTAACTGATTCATGTGAATCTATAGAGATAAAATATAAATGATATGAACTGGTTGATCTCAGTGTTTGAATAAAAAGTATTTTTTATTGTAAATTAATTTAAGCTGAATAAACATGAAGGATGTTGGTCAGAAAATCAAAATTTGAATGAAGGTCTGAATGAATCAATGATGAAAATGTTGCATGAAAACAAACCAACCAAGAATGTGAAGAGCAATGGTCCAGTTTATATACTGGGAACACTGGGTCCAGTTGATCCAGGTAGGCTGATAACCTGGCCACGCCCACTGAGCCTCAGCAGCTCCAAACAGAAAGGTCAAAGGTCAAGCGGCTCCAGAGGACTGGGCTGGACTTTTGGTTCTGAGGTTCTTCTTCCTGGTCGGTTCTTGGGTTCTGGTCTTTCATGACCCACATCAGCTCTTCAGACCAGATGAACAGCTTTAGTTCTGATCCTCTGCTCTCCACCTTCTGCCACTAGATGGCAGCAGTGAGACTCTTTGCAGTGCATTCTGGGTATTGGAGTTTTATCAATGGATACGACAGAAGAACTTTGTGGAATAATTCCTAGAAATATAATATGATCAGCTCCATCAAACTGGAACATGAGCCTGTTGTTCTGCAGGTTCTGCTGTGACCCAGAGAAAATGTTGAGTTTGACCCAATAAATAGTCTGAATGTTTCATTCTGGAGCTTTAAACCTTCTGCTTCTCTGCAGCAGTTTGTGTTCAGAGCTTCTTCTCTGGTTTTTATCTCAGTTTCTCACTGATTGATGATCTGAATAACAACATGTTTGTGTTTCAGAGGACAGAACCACAGATGGAGAGCAGAACCTCCAGGACCCATCAGTCCATCTATGAGGAGTGACCGGTCCAAACCAGATCCTCTAAACTTCAGTAATGAACCTGGATCATCAGACAGAAAGTAAGAAACCAGTTTCTAACTGATTCATGTGAATCTATAGAGAAAAAATATAAATTAACTGGTTGATCTCAGTGTTTTAATAAACAGTAACTTAATTTTCTTACTTATTAATTTAAAGTTAGACATGAAGGATGTTTGTCAGTAAATCAGTTTGAATGAATTAATATGAATTAAAATGTTGCATGAAAACAAAAACATGTGAGGAGCAACAATTCAGATTGTCTGTAAACCCACTGAAGCAGTGAAACCAGCATCTTCCAGACTGGGAACACTGGCATCAGTCATCATACCAATATAATTCAATGAAGTACTTAAAACCAGAAATCATCAATGTTCTGAGGTTCTGTTCTGACCCAGTTTCTGGTCCCTGGTTCTTTGTGGACCTTCATGAACATGTTCAGCTCCAGCCTGTTGCTAGTGAATATTTCAGTGATGAAGAAATGTCTTCACAGGAGCAGCTTTAGTGAGGAGGAGCTTCCATCTTGCTGTGCTTTGGGTCAGAATGTTCTGATGGATCCGGGCTGGACCAGCTGCCCCCAGTGTGGGAAACAACCCAGAACAGGATCTGGACTGACAGCCAATCAGAGCAGCTGTGCTCCAGGTGAGACTGAACATGTCCAATCAGAGCTTCTTCCTTCCAGATCCACGTCTTTAGTTGAGATTTGGACATTTAAGGTTTAAAAGTTTTATGTCTCAGTAACTCGACTTAATAAACTATTCATTTAATTTCAGCCTGTTCAAAAAATGGTCACAAGATAAATGTACAAATTGACTTTATTTTGTTCATTTTAAAATGAAGTGAAGACTCTTACTCTGAAGGGTCATGTTGCAGCAAGTTAAATAATCACAATATGATGAATCTGCACATTTTAGTTAAAATCATAGACATTGTAAAACTCATAGCTGAAGGGTTTCTGTATTTTATGTTTTCTCCTACATATTATGTTGTTTCTAAGTTATTTAAGTGCCATAAGGTCTGTATTATTATTATTATAATAATTATTAATATTGTTTTTAATTTTAAAATGAGCAGCTCTAAATAAAACATTTCATAGAATCAATTTGATGATTCTTACAGATAATTTTATTTGGGTTTCAGCACATTATGAGTTTAAGGGGGATGAAATAGCAGAAAGGATGGCTCAGGGTATTGGTTGATATTAATGTTATGTTTAGAATAACAGAAATAAAGTGAATAATAAAACAATAAAAGAAAGAGAGGTGACAAAAGTTCTAGGTCAGCAAATTGCCCACCTGCCAATATGGTTAATCTGATTCTGCTGAAAAGGATTTTTATTCTACTTTTATTGGTTATTACACCAGGCCGTTAAGGTTCTGCTGGAAAATTGCATCTTACAATTCAGAAAATGACTAAAGGACAATTCCACGGAATTTCTCGCCACATTGAGCATCTTCAATGTGATCTACTTCAAAAACTAAAATGGTTTTCACGAGGCAGAAAGTGATTTTGAGCAACCTCAGAGGTCACTGAAGTCTCTGAAAAGCTCCTGGTTCAAGGTTGAGGTTCAGCCTGGACATGATGGTAAATGTAGAATATAATAAGGAGTTATGTTACAGAAAAGCTTCTTCAGGAAGTGAATCGTTTGTGATCCAAACGTTGTTGGAGAACAATCAGGCAGATGAATGTGAGGACAGCAGAGCTGCAGCAGCAACAGAGGAGTGGAGGACAATCTGGGGACCAACAACTAGAACAGAAACCTTTATTCACTCTGACAATATAACACAGACTGCATTATATATATTTACAGTATGAATGCAAAATGTAATAATACTAACAATCTGAGGAAAGTCATTTTAAATGAACATTATCGACATAATGAGTCATTTCTTTGGCAGATTAAAGCTTTTTCTCCAGATTTTTTTCATAAAGGCTGAAAAATGAAGGGAGGAAACATTTTTCTGTTTCTATAAGGACAATGATGACATGATGCAGAAGAGTTGATGTTACTGAAAACTCCTGGATTCAATGACTCTGATGGTTTTGTTCCAACTTTATCACTGAATCATGTTTTTTTACTACAGTTGTCTTCTGTGTTTCATTTTTAAGTCTGAATTGTAAATGTGTGGCAGTGAGCATGTAGAAACAGTAAAAACAGAGAGAGGAGAATGAAAACATGTCCATACATAGAGTATGGAATATTCAGAACAATTCAAAGAGCATAAAACCTTATAAAACTGCGTTTTGAAGCCAAAATACCTGAGAAATATTCAGAGCCAACCATGAGAATCAAGGCATTTCAAAATAAAACTCAGTTTCACACAAAGACGCAGCTTAAATGTTTGGCTGTTGAACTGAATTGTTCAAAGTGGCAATAAAGTTAATAATCTATCAGCAGCTTCACAATCTCTTTTATAAACATTACATTACCAAGACACATTAAAACAAACCTTTATCTTGGCTTCTTTCTATTCTCCCTCTTTTCTTTCTCCCTGAATGATAATCATTTTTTAGACATTGTTTTCCAACTTATCTTCTGATCAGAGCTTTGGACGTTTGGATCGGTTCTGGAAGCACCAGGAGCTATTTTTATTCTTTTGGTCTATAAAACTATGATTTCTACATACATTATCAATATATTGTAACAAACCACTTCATGAGGAAATTGTGTGATTATGTCATTGTGATGACATAGAAATGGATATAAAATAAATCAGGTCCACTGATGGGGCCCCTTGGAGGCCCTGGGGCTGCTTAGTTTCTTGGGCCGGCCCTGAGACTGACGTTGGAATAACTTTCTCTAATTATTGAATTATGTTTCCTTCATCAAAGTTTATGAAGAAGAACCAAACTGGCCACTTTATTAGTCCAGCAAATTGTTTTTATTTTGTTTATTTTCTTTCTTTTTTCAGATATTGTTGATCTGTATCAGCCTGACCTTAAAGCGTCTCTGAAGATGATGTTCCAAAGTCTCTCTGAAGGCGTCGCTGACATGGAAATAAACTGATCTGAACCAGATCTACACTGAGCTCTACATCACAGAGTGGTCAACTAGAGAGGTCAACCAGGAACATGAGGTCAGACAGATTGAAACAGCATCCAGGAAACAAGAAACAATCAGAAGAGAAGACATCTTTAAAGTCCCACCTGGAGGAGATCAGCCAATCAGAACAGTGATGACCATGGGCGTGGCTGGCATTGGGAAAACACTGTTAACACAGAAGTTCACTCTGGACTGGGCTGAAGGCAAAACCAACCAGAACATTGAGTTCATATTTCCATTCACCTTCAGAGAACTGAATTTACTGAGAGAGAAAAAGTTCAGCTTATTAGAACTGATTCATGAACGATTCACTAAAACCAAAGGAATCAGAAACTTTGAATCGTTCCAGGTTCTGTTCATCTTTGATGGTCTGGATGAAAGTCGATTTAATCTGGATTTCAAGAACAATCTGATCCTGACTGATGTTACAGAGTCCAGCTCAGTGGATGTTCTGCTGACAAACCTCTCAGGAAGGAACTGCTTCCCTCTGCTCTCCTCTGGATAACCACACGACCTGCAGCAGCCAATCAGATCCCTGCTCAGTGTGTTGACATGGTGACAGAGGTCAGAGGGTTCACTGACCCCCAGAAGGAGGAATACTTCAGGAAGAGATTCAGACATGATGAAGAGAAGGCCAGCAGGATCATCTCCCACATCCAGAAATCCAAAAGTCTCCACATCATGTGTCACATCCCCGTCTTCTGCTGGATCACTGCTAAAGTTCTGGAGGATGTGATGAAGACCAGAGAGAGAGAAACTACCCAAGACTCTGACTGAGATGTACATAGAGTTCCTGAAGGTTCAACTCAAAATCAAGGAGGAAAAATATGATGGAGGAAAAAGAGCAAATCTATCTGGAGTCCAGAGAACAGGAAGCTGATTGAGTCTCTAGGAAAAACTGGCTTTTGATCAGCTGCTGGAGGGAAACCTGATCTTCTATGACAAAGATCTCACACAGTGCGCATCAACATCCAAGATGCTGCGTTGTTCTCAGGAGTTTTCACTGAGATGTTTAAAAGAGAGAGAGGGACACGCGACGTCTCCATCTACTCCTTTGTTCATCTGAGCATCCAGGAGTTCCTGGCTGCAGTCTACATGCTCCACTGCTTCACCAGCAGGAAGTCAGAGGAGATCAAGACGTTCCTGGGAGACGAATGCAGAGAATCATCTCTAGATGAGTTCATGAAGAAAGTCATGGAGAAATCCCTCAGCAGTGAAAATGGCCACCTGGACCTGTTTGTCCGCTTCCTTCATGGTCTCACTGTGGAGTCCAACCAGAGAGACTTAGAAGATCTGCTGGTCAGACAGAGACCAGTCCAGAAACCATCCAGAGAATCATCACCAACCTGAAGGAGATGAACACTGATAGAATCTCTCCTGACAGAAGCATCAACATCTTCTACTGTCTGGTGGAGATGAACGACGTCTCATTTTATCAGGAGATCCAACGGCTGATGGATTCAGGGAAGAAGCTCTCAGAGTCTGACTGTTCAGCTCTGGCCTTCATGCTGCAGATGTCAGAGAAGGTTCTGGATGAGTTGGACCTGAAGAAGTACAACACATCAGAATCAGGACGACAGAGACTGGTTCCAGCTGTGAGACTGCAGAAAGGCTCGGTGAGTCCAGATGTTTTCATTGTGTGATGCTGATTCAGCTCTATTGTCCTCCTGTTTCTTCTTCTGTCTTCAAGTTGATTCTGGATGTTTTTGCTCTTTATCTACTTCCTTCATCTCTGGATTATTTTTCATAAACTTTATATTTTGTTGTTTTTACAGTTTCAGAAATATAAATACTTTGAACATTCAAACCTCCACTAACAAAAGCTGCAAAGTATCTTGTTGAACAAAGACAATTAAATAATAAAACAATAAAAGCCAAAGTGAGAACTTTCACAATAAAACTAGATGATTACATTGATCCTCCAGTTGGTTCCAGGTTCAGGTTTCTTCTCTTCCAATATTTTTTGATCAGCAGAAAGTCTTCATGACAGTCAGTCTCTCCACTGGATGAATTTCCTTAATTATTTCCTTCCAGTCTAATGTGAATGTTCTGATCATCATCATCATCATCATCATCAGTGTTGCATGTTATTCGCCCAGGAAAACATTAAAACATTCTGGGGAGGAAATTTCACATGTTCTCTGATGAGATTAAAATAAGTTTGTGTCAAACTGACTGTCTGTTCGTGTCTGCTGCTCCTTTGTGGTGTTAATTTAAAAACTCAGCATGCAGAAGCTGCTGGTTGCTTATCTTGACTCTGAGAGCATTCTGCTAAAGAAACCAGGTTCTGCAGAGCAAGAGAGACGTTTTGTAACAAGCAGAAATATTAAGTAGGGAACTGGTTACAGGTCTGAGAACAAACACAAAGCGTTCGGTTCCCCATGTACACTCAATCAATCAATCAATCAATCAATCAATCAATCAATCAATCAATCAATCAATCAATCAATCAATCAGTCAATCTGATTGATTGATGTACACTCACTGCTAAGTTAATGATGAATATTCATGAATATTTATCTTATGCTAGTCGACACATACAGTTACATTTAGCTATCAAGCTGCAGCATTTATGATGCTGCACTATGCTGTAGCATCATAAATGCTGCAGCATAGTGCAGCATCATAAATGCTGCACTATGCTGCAGCATTTATGATGCTGCAGCTCGTGGTAAAAATGAGTCAATTTTTTAAAATAAAGTGTTTATCAGAAAACCTAAAGATCAAATCAGGATTGATTTAACACCAGAGACAGAAAAATAGAGCAAAAGGTGATTTGAACTGCAGTTGGAACAATTATTGACAATATATACAGGGGTTAAAGTTCATCAATAACTGGTTCAATCCTCCATTAATCACAAACACTGAAAAATAAGTTGATTAAATTCATTAAAAATGTCCAAATGCTGATAAAGATCCAGTTCAGTTTCACCAAACCAAGAACCAAAGTACTGAAGAGGGAGTTGGGAAAGCATTTATTGATTTAATATAGATCAGATATTGACTCGATCAATATCTGCCGATAACAGATATTGATCAGTTATCGGCGTTTGATTCATCAATTTCAACCTCAAATGATTCGTTGACACATTTTCAACTTTGGTTCTGACTAGAATTGGATGATTGTTTGCTGATTGATCATTGATTATGGACCAGAAATCAACCATTCTGACTATAATCCATCGTTGACGTAGCATCCTGTGCTATCAGGTCGGCTAACTCCAGGTCAGTTAGCGTTAGCAGTTAGCGTTAGCAGTTAGCGTTAGCAGCTCATCGTCTGGTCTTGTTCCTTAATAGTTCCTCCCATAATGTTGTTGTTCTCTGATGGATCAATAAAAGCAGCAACGTGGCGATGGGGTTCAGCCTCGGCCACAGACCCTTTCCTGAATCTGATAATCCACATTAATCTTAATCCTGGCAGAAGTGATTCATACAGACTGAAACAACCTATAATCTGATTATTAAAGCCAATCTGTCCAGAGCTCAATAAAGATATTTCCAACACATTGAATCAAAAGCCTTTTCAGCATCTAAATGACTTTATTGATTCTGTTTAACCTTTGACCTGTGAGGTCAGGAGTCCACGTTGTCATGGGTTTGATGTTGATGATAAAACCAGATTAAATCTGATCTGTGTCTGTAATTCCTGGGATTATAATATTTATCCAGTGTTGCTGCAGTGATCCTGTAATCAATGTTTCAAACTGATGTTGGTTTATGAACCACATCCAGTTTCATCTTTACCAGGTTTAGGAATCACTGACATCTCTGCTCTGATCCAAGATGGCGGCGTTTCCCCTCCACAAAGTTCTGATCAAATCAATCCTTCAGCAGCCGCTCTGCCGGGTCGCCTCCTCACCTGCCGTCTGATTCCCTTTCAGTCTTTAATGACTTTATTGATCAGTGATTAGTTGTTAGTGGATGATTTTGATCTGTTCCTATCGATGGTGAATCCAGAGCAGCAGCAAAAACTGCATGAGGCTGAGAGCAGAACTGAGTGGAGGATCATTCAACAGATTCTCATGTGTTTTAGAGATCGGTGTCTTTATCTGTTGGATTTTAATTTATTGATAAATCTATTAGTTGCTATCAGTTTCTTTGCTTTGATCTATTTCCATAATAGTTGAGTTGAATAAATTTATCCTTTTCCTCCATCTGGTTTCATAGAAACAGTTTCTCCTTGTTTCTCTGATTTGTTATTATTATTATTTTCCATACGTTGTATTTGTAGAGATTTTAGTTTTCTAATCTTTTAAACATTTCTCTCTTTCTCGTTAGAGAACCAGATAATTAAAGTTTTGCTTCGTCCCATAAAATCCAGGGAGAAAAATCCTCTGTGTTGTTCTGGTTCAAATCATCTTTGAGTCGTTTTCCTGAAATCTGTTAAATTTAGTGTCATTAATAACTATAATTATTGTTGATTCTCCACAGGGTTTCTTTGGTTCATGACCCAAAAGGGTCCGGCCCTTTCCAGGCCCTGGTCTATCCCTGGTCTTGCGCTGGTCCGGCCCGGATCTGGCCCTGGGCTGGCCCGGGTCCGGTCCTGGTCTGGCCCGGGTCCGGTCCTGGTCCGGCGCTGGTCCGGCCCGGGTCCGGCCCGGGTCCGGCCCTGGTCCGGCCCTGGTCCGGCCCGGATCCGGCCCTTTCCTGGCCCGGGTCTGTCCCTGGTCTTGCGCTGGTCTGGCCCGGGTCCGGCCCTTTCCTGGCCCGGGTCTGTCCCTGGTCTTGCGCTGGTCCGGCCCGGATCCGGCCCTTTCCTGGCCCTGGTTTTGCCGTGGCCCGGCCCTGGTCCGGCCCGGATCCCGCCCAGGTTCGGCCCGAGTCCGGCCCTTTCCTGGCCCGGGTCTATCCCTGGTCCTGCGCTGGTCCGGCCCGGATCTGGCCCTGGTCCGGCCCTGGTCTGGCCCGGGTCCGGTCCTGATCTGGCCGTGGCCTGGCCCTGGT